CAGAAATGTTGACGTTTCACAAAATATAGGAAGTTGGATTCATGATGAAGAGGGTCAGATCTTATTCAACTTGCAGTCAATTAGGCTATTTATATGCTTGCTTTAGAGACATTCTACTCAGTAATTTGCAAATTATGGTCCCACTTTTTCCCCTTCGTCGTCATAGTAGTCTATAAATCAAAACTTGATCCTGCAATGCACAGTATGTTATTCGATTTTTCTTTTCTCAGCTTTCAAGTATCTTGTAGGCCTGGGTGATAAAATTGACCTGAATTGGTTTCCTATTTTTTTAGAACTAGGGTGAATCCTCACTTCAGTGGTGTTCACACATTTGATAAATTTAGGTCCTCTTTCTTTCTACGTGCTTGTCTTAATTTGATCTTTGCGTACCCTTAGTGCGAAATAAAGTTCACAATCTCTGATTTGGCTTCCAAAATTTCTCTTCCATTCATGACACTCATAAACTTCAGAAACTGTGACCTTCGTAACTTTCTTGAACCTTAATCTTTTGCTTATAAAACCTAGTCGATTATAATACTTCCTGCTTCATGAGAAGTACAACTTATTTTCTGTGGTGTGGGATTAATTGAGAATGTTTACACATTCTTCTGCACTCAGGGTATGTACGAGGACTCCATACGCTACTATGTTCGGGCACTCTCTATGAATCCAAAGGCGGATAATGCCTGGCAGTATTTGAGAATCTCTTTGAGGTACTTTCTTTCAAATAACCGTGTTGTTTTATTGTGTCTAGGCTAGTTGATTGCCACTAATTTCTGCTCTTTTGTTTTTCAGCTGTGCTTCCCGGAACGATATGCTGGAAGCTTGTGACTCAAGGAATGTTGATTTTCTCCAGAAAGAGTTCCCGCTGTGATTATACCTTGTGATCCTGCTGACAAAAGACCTAAGTCAGGTAGCTCAATTCTCTTGTTGTGCTGAACAATATAACCTGGTAGCGACGCTTGATTTGTAATTTGGGTATACCTTTTCTGCTGCCCGAGTGAATTCACTATTTCTGCATACTGGTTAGTTTCAGCCTCAAGAAAATGAAGTTCAACTAATACGAATCATTGTTTGACTGTAAAATTATTGAGCTCGTAGTGGACATCTCAAGATGATGCGTGTGTTTTTTGT